AAAACTAATAATATATAGTAAATAAATTTATAGAATTATATTTAAAAATAATAAGTTTTTATAAATAATCTTTATTTTAAAATTTAGATTAGTTTTTCGGATTATAAAATATTAGATTAATAAAAGATTTCTAGGATTAGTTACTTAGTTTAGACTTATATAAATATTCTATATAGTAGTTCTCTAAATCTTAAAAAAAATATACTAATATAAAATAGTTTTTTTTAGAAAAATATTATTTATAAGTATAAATTTCAATATATAATTAATATTCTATTTAAGTATTAGTCGAAGTATATCTAAGTATATTTTAACTTTATAAATAAGTTTTTAGAATTTTATAAAATAGTTATAAAAATTTTATTATTTCTAGCAAAAATTAAAAAATTTATTTTATATAATATATTCTTTATTTAAATCTTTAAAGAAATATTCTAAAAGAATAAGAATATTTAAATAGTTAAAAAAATATATTTTTTTATTTTTAATATAAGATTATATCTAAATATAAGATTTCTTTTTAAATTAGCTAATAATATAGGTTTTATAGAATATAGATATAATATATTAATTAGTATTAATTTTTATTTTTTTCTAGATTTAGTTAATAAAATAATAAAAGTTAAATAGATATTTAAAAAAAAGCAGAGATAAAAAATTTAGAATTAATTAATATAATTATTTTTATTAAAATAACTATAATATTTTTAATAATAAATATAGATTTTAAAATATATATAAAAATACTTACTATAGAAGTAATAATCTAAATAATTTTAGTATATTTATATTAAATTTAGTTTTTTTTATAGCTATTTTATAAATAATAGTAATATTAACTAGTTTTTAGATTATAAGTATTTTTTCTACTAGAACTATTTAATTTAAAAGACTAAAAATATTTTTTAAATAGCTTGTTTATTTTAGATTTTTATAATATAGGTATAAATCTAATTATAGTAGTAGTATTATTTTTTTTAAATATTTACTAATATATTAGGTAAACTTTTTTAGATTATTTAATATAGTTAGAGATTATAAGATTATTAATATTTTATTAAAACTACTATTTTTAAGAATAAAAGCTATATAATATTAAAAAATAGATTGGTATCTAGTTCTTAGTCTAACTAAATAATAAAAATAATAGTACTAACTAAAAAAATCTTTATAATAATTTTTTTAAATTTTTTATTAGCTACTAAATTAAATTATTCTTAGATTTATGAATAAGATATAGCTTAAAAAGTTATAAATAAAATTAGAAATAAATGAAAAATTAAAAAGTTCTATATATTATATATAAGATAATTAGAAAGAATAGTAAGATTACTAGAATTAAAAGAATAGAACAGCTTAGATAGGTAGAATAGGTATACTAGGTCAGCACTGTGATATCTTCTCTTATATAAAAATCTAAGTAATCTAATTCTATATTATTATTTCTTTAATATAGCAGAAATTAAAATAGAAAATTAAAAAAATAGATTACTAGTTTTTTAAATTATAAAATAAAAACCAAATCTGTATATTATTATTTAACTTATTATTTATAATAAAACTATACTAAAACTTATTTAATACTTTAGATATTTTTATAATATATTCATTAACATTTTAATAGTTATTATATTAAAAAGATATAATAGTCTAAAAATCTTTAAGAAACTAAATATTTAAAATAATATTATAATATTTTTTAAATTTATTCTAAATAGTACTGGCTGATTTTAGATCGATTATTTTATAATATATTTTAAATAATAATATAATATATATAATACTATAGGCTTTTTTATTATTTTAATACTATTCTAACTACTTAATTTAATATTTTTTAAGTTTTTTAATATATATTTATTTAGTAATTTAAACAGCTATATTTTTACTAAAATTATTAAAAGATTTTATAGAAGGCCTCGGAACTTTTATAATATTTAAAATAAAATATTATAGTTTTTAATTTTATAAATATATTTTAACTATTTTAAATTAATACTAATAGTTTTTAGTGCTTTAAAAAACTGGTAGTTTGTTTATATTAATTATTTAATATTCTATAATATTTTTATATATTTTATATTATTTAATTTTTGTATTTAATTTGCTAATTTTAACGGTAGCTAATACTTAATAAAAACTAAATATAAAAAATAGTTCAGTAATAAATTTAGTTAGTTAATATATATTTTAATAAAAATTTTAATAATAATTAGTAGTATTATAGATTAGTAAAGTAATATGTTTTAGTAATATTCTTTCTACTAAAAAAAGTATATATTAATATAAAAATAATTAATTTAATATTTTAGTCTGAGCCGGGTTTATAATTTATTAAAAAAGCAGCTATAAAAGCTGAAAAATTAAGACTATTTAAATTAATATTAATTAATTATTAGAAGAAATTAGATACAGCTATATAGTGTTTTGAACTCTTCGGCCGTCACGTGACCCGGCAATGCCAGGCCACCAACGCCGACACTTTGCTAGCTGATCAACGATCAAAGTGCTGACTGATTTGCATATATGTGATAACTATATCCTACCTTTACCCCACGCTCTAGTCACTAGTATGTGTAGTAGTACTGGTAGCTGCAGTGCCCGCTATTGATCTGCGCTTGTTCTTCAGGACAATGGTTGGTGTTGTTCTGGAGACAGCCAATCACTTGCCGTAACTCCAATTTTGTCAGCTCTGTTTGTGGTTCCCGGGAGGGGCGGAGGAGAGACTTCCAAGTTGGATTCAAGGGAGGTCACGGGTTGAAGGTTGAATTATTGACTAGTCCCAAATGAGAAGCAAGGGTTGGGCCCAGGCTCCATCCATGATCCAGTCCATCCATGATCGATCACTACCTAGTAATACTGAGTACTTCATACTTGAGTACTACTGAGTCCATCACGTCACACGCGCACCACCACCACTAACTTACTCGGTACTTCCACCGACCGCCCTCGAAGCGGTGTCACTCTCGAACACCCGAACGTTTGAACTGTCCCCCCCACCTCCGCATGAATCAAAGTAGACAAGGAAGAAGAAGAAAAAAAATCCTGAATATTGTTAAGCGACTTGATTGATGTGGGAATTATCTTCGCTAGCCTATTAGACGGTCATTATCTGATTTTCATCTTGTATAACTTACTTATTCTCTTTTTACTGCTTCAAAATCAGCCCCCACGAGAAAGTGTTTTTCCCCCTATGCCCGCGACACCGACCGTCCCTCGCAAGATAGGCAAACCCGCCGCCATCTTGCATCACTAGTGAAACTGCTCGGTCCTCTACTCCGTACTCCTATCGCCACTGCTGCTCCAAGTTCATCTTCCGAGCATTTCTCAAATCCCTCCCCCTCTTCTCTCGCTGCCTTTTGCATTTCTAGACAGAGAGGAACGATCTTGACGGGCGCCATGGCCCGTATATCGCCCACTTTCATCCTCGCCGCAGCGACGGTCATCGCAGTACTCAGTAGCGGCGTGGGGGCATCGTCTATCGGAGATCATTCAGCCCCAGGCGCTTCTCCTACACCCTCCCCGTCTGCTACCATGCAACAGTCCGCCTCCTACCCAGCTGCCTCGGAGTCCGGAGGGGATGATGAGGATAATGGAGAGTGCAGGCTCCTTGGTCCCTTTTCGCTGCTGGTGCAGGCCGCACTTGGGGCCCTGGCGCTCTTATCGCTGGTCTACAAGCGTTGGAGGGAGAGACCCCAACGACCGGTGAAGGTCTGGGCATTCGATGTTTCAAAGCAAGTCTTCGGCTCGGCCATGTTGCATCTGGCGAATCTTCTCATGTCCATGTTCTCGGCCGGCCAGTTTGAGATTCAGAGCAAATATAAGCCCAACCCATGTTCGTTCTATCTTCTGAACTTGGGAATAGATGTGAGTGACCGATTCTGATCCTGGGCAGCGCTGAAGTGATAGCCAACTAATACCCCGGCGATCACAGACCACTCTCGGTATCCCCATCTTGATCTTCATATTACACATCTTGAGCCGCCTCGCCATGTTTACTCCCCTTGCGAATCCGCCAGAGTCTATTGAGTCTGGAAACTACGGTCGCCCGCCCCGTGCTTCCTGGTGGTTCAAGCAGTCGATGATATACTTCCTTGGATTACTAGGGATGAAGATTTGTGTCTTCTTCATCATTCAATTGCTGCCTTTTATCGTCAAGGTGGGCGATTGGGCTCTACGGTGGACGGAGGGCAATACCGCTGTCCAAATCATTTTCGTTATGCTTCTTTTCCCGGTTATCATGAACGCCATTCAGTATTACATCATCGATACCTTTATCAAAAAGCCGCTCTCTCTGCCACAGGGGACTGTGGAAGAGGAGAATGGCGGTGACCGAGCAGCTGAACACGATGACGAGCACCGTCGCGGACTGCTGGCCGGCCTTGATGATGATGTTTCGTTTTCGGACGATGATTCGGTGGGTAAAGGTAGAAGGGGACCTGACTCGGAGAGCTCTACACCAGGGAAGGAAGATCTCGTACAATTTGACTCGGTGGAGTATAATCCCGCCGCTCATGGCGAATGCAGTTCAGCATCGTCAGCGACGGTGTCGGCCAGGTCTGGAAGCGATCGTGATGAGCTCGGAGGATCATCTCCGTCGATCAAGCCGAGTGGCCAACCAACGGATACACTATAACGACTCTCCACTTACACACATGCGATCTTGCGGCGTTTGGTATTTATTCTTCTAAACTGTTTTTGATCTAAGGTCCGTAAAGGCATGGCGATTACTTCTATGCATATTTGATTGTGGCTGTATGAATGGACGTGTACATGAACCATTTGCCATGATGGAGTTATTTATCTTGAGATTTGTGGAATCTTGTTCTGGCGAACTCTTATTAATTCTTGTGATCCCTTGCCTAACCCATATTGTATGTGCCTGAACTTCGAGGCTATAAGAAGGGTCCACCGCAGTGCTCACCGCCCGCAACTGCCGGCTCAAGCGAAAGAAAATTATTGTCTGGCGGCAGGCATCGCATCTGCAATTCTACCTGCATGTGCATTTGTCTCTAGTCGATTACATTCTTCTCGTGCATTTCACCTATCGAGAAATACTCCTACAAACTTGATCCTACAGTTTGTACTTTGCTAGGTTTCCCCACCAACAGAAGGTGGATCAGCCCCCAATGCCCAAATCGACCGTCAAGGAAAAGACCCGCCAAAAGTCCGGCGATGCCTCGTCGCGCTTGGTCTACGAGGAGGGCAAGCCCATTCGCGCCCAGAATGACGACGATGACATGACCAGCAGTGAAGGGAGTGACGATGAGTCGGATGTTCCCGAGAAGGATGAGGCCGAACTCAAGCTGGAACAGATGCTTTTCGGCGACGACGATGGATTTCTCGGCGCACTGAAGACTCAGAACGAGCGCGGTCTGGTACTTGCTGATCAGAGCGATGAGGAAATGGGGGATGGCGATGACTCGGAGAATGACGATGAAGAGCAAGATCTGAGTAAATTGGCTGACTCCGATGTATGCGATGGTTTTTTTGTTTCCTGTTTGTCCGCAGAAAGACATTTGCTGACAGAATTGACTCGACACAGCTGTTCTTCCTTGATTCCGGACCCGGACCTGTTTCTGACTACATCGGCGAGGCGCCTGCGACACCGTCCGATGAGGAGGCTAGCGAAGAGGAGGCCAATGGCTTGCCCGCCTTGTGGCATGATAGCGACGATGACCGTCTTACAATCTCACTGGCGAGCCACCAGCGGTTGCGCAAGCTGCGCGTCGCGGAATCAGAGGACGTCATTAGTGGCAAGGAATACATTCGCCGGTTGCGCAGACAGTTCGTCCAGCTGAATCCTGTGCCCGATTGGGCAAACCCCGAGAAGAACCAGCAGAAGGACGATTCCGACGCCGATGACATGGATACGGATGATGAGGAGCGCTCTTCCACACAACCTCTCGCGAAATTGCTTCAGGGTGCCACAGATCTCGTCAAGCTGGAGGACAACACAGGTCCTGGCGGCAAGAGAAAGATGCGTCAGGAGGTCATTGGCATTGCGAGACTCAAGGATGTCGGCAAGGACCAGCCGGTGAGTGTGATACTGTTCGTTTGTGCTTTCGTGCAGGGAACTAACAAATGAGCGACAGTCGGCCATCGATTCACTCTCTTTCCACCCTCATTACCCACTACTGCTCTCCTCCGGACAGGCAGCCACTCTCTTCCTGCATCACATCTCGCCCTCCGCCCTGGCTCCGAACCCTCTTCTCACATCCTTCCACATCCGCCACACGCCCCTTCACACCTCTGCGTTCCATCTGCCCAGCGGAAACCGCATCTTCGCATCTGGGCGTCGGAGATACTTCCACATCTGGGACCTGGAAACCGGCAAGGTGGACAAGGTCAACGGCACCTCGGACCGGAAGGAAGAGCAGAAGACGATGGAGCGCCTCAAGCTGTCCCCGTGCGGACGGTATGTGGGCTTGGTGGGTTCGGCCCGCAAGGGCGGTGGTCTCATCAACATCCTCGACTCCAACACGGCGCAGTGGATTGCACAGGTCCGTGTGGACGGTCGCGGAGGTGTGTCGGATTTCGCGTGGTGGAGCGACGGCGAGGGTCTGACAGTGGTGAGCAAGAGTGGTGAGGTCTCCGAATGGGACGGCCGCGAGAACCGTGTGGTGGCCCGCTGGATCGACGCCGGCGCCGTGGGCACGACGGTACTCAGCCTAGGCGGACGGTCCGGACGCACTCAACTTGGCGGTGACCGCTGGGTCGCCATTGGCAGCTCCAGCGGTATTGTCAACGTGTACGACCGTCGCGAATGGGCAGCCGCATATGCTGCTGCTGCCGCTGCCTCGAACACGGAGGAGACCAGCCAGACTTTCATCCCTCGGAACCCCGAACCGGTACGCGTGCTGGACCAGCTCACCACGCCCATCAGCCACTTGGTCTTTGCGCCGGATGGACAGTTCTTCGTGATGGCGAGTCGCTGGAAGCGCGATGCATTGAGAATCGGTATGTTTGCTCCCCATGTCTCTCGATCTTTAACATATGCTAACTTCTAATCCAGTCCACCTCCCCAGTTGCACGGTCTACCGCAACTGGCCGACCTCCAACACCCCCTTTGGCCGTATCTCCGCCGTGGCCATCTCGCCCAACTCGGAGCAATTGGCTGTGGGTAACGAGCAAGGTCGGATCCGTCTGTGGGAGATTCGCGGATGAGAGAGGTCATGCATCTACTCGATAGTATTATATAGACGCGTTTTACGGTTTGGATCAGTGGCATACAAAAGTAATTACATTGCACACTCTGCATTGACGTTGGCTTTCGTATCTCATATCAAGCAGCAGCCGGGCTTTTTTCTCATCCTATGCTTACCCAAAGCTAAGCTACTCTGAAACGCAAGAGTCACTTCTGGTAATTTCATCGATTCGGATATAATGTTTGGAATTAGATACTGAAGATTTCCCACGGAAAATATAATGAAAGCAGTCCGTCCCCTTGCCTTTGCCCACCCCCCATCCAAATCCAAAAGGGTATCCCCTTCGTCCCATTTCCTTGCCGCTAATGCCCTTCCTTTCACCATCTCTCTCAGACCTATCTCCCCTCTGTTGATCTCCCCACAACCCAACAGCACAAGGCCCATTCGTAACCTGCAATTCACAAGCCCTAACCAAGCTAGAAAGACGGGTGAACGACCAGAATCAGTACAATGATTTTTTTTTCTCAAACACCAGTGTAGATCAACAAAAGACCAAGCCTAGCTTGTCATTCACAAGGGGAAGGAAAACTCACCAGACCACCCAGACCAAGCTATATATATCACAACAAACACAAAGTCATCACGTCAGCCTTTCGAACTTTCCCAAACCCGCAAATAGAGAAAAGAAGAGAGAAAGAATAGAAGCTTACATTGCCCAATAGACCCGAGAGCTGTTTTTCCCAAATAAGTGAAAAGAGTCATGGTTAGCTTCCAGGTTTCACATGAATGCGAAGGAGGGTGGTGGTGTTAGTGGGTGAGGTAAGTGTTGCAGGGTTCAACTTGAGGGGGGGGGGGGGGATAGGGCAGAGGATGTATGGGAGAGTCTCCTTACGAAATCATCGTCGGTTTCCTATGATTTCTCGTTAGTTATTTACACTACACGGTTATAGAGGTTTTGTCAAGGAAAGAGGATGGGGGGAAGAGAAAACGTACACCCTGGGTAGCGGCCGTCTTACTCGGCTGGGGGGTACTGCCGGAACTGCTGCTGCTGCTGGGCTTGGAGGAAGGTGACGACGAGGGAGTCTGCGTGGGGCTGTCCTCCATTGTGCTCATGCTCATGGGCTGCTTGTTTGTCATCTCGGTGTTGCCGTGGGGGAGGGCGAGCGCCCCCGTAGCTGTCAGGGCCGCAGTGGCGAGGAGGGCGAGGGAGAATCTCATGGTGAGTTGGAGAGATGAGAGAGCTCTTTGGGAACGAAAGAACGAAAGAACGAAAGAAGTGTAATAAGGTCGGAATAACGAAATCGAACAAAAAGAAAAATAAAGAAGGAACGTTAAAGCGCACAGGGGGCTTTAGAGCAAGAAGCTTGTATTTATTTAGGGCTTCATTGCTATGTTTCACGGGAGGGGTCTGTTACATGCCAGGATGAGGAACACATTCGAGGGATGGCAGGGTTTACGTTGGTATTCATCTCATCTCCACTTACCCAGTAGCACGGGACACCCGAAGCACTCAAAATCTACAGGAGTGGCAGAGGAGAGGAGACGGAGATCTAGAAGGGTATTCAGGGTTACTTACTAGGTAGGAGGCCTGGGGAAATTCAAGTAGGGCAAGGGATGGATGTATGGATCACCCACCCCTGCCACTTATCTAGCCCATTGAGTTGCCTGTCTTCGCCTTGAGTACTGACCAGTACCATGTGTAGAGGGGCAGGAGGATTCTGGAGTGATTGGAGAAATAAGGGGGCAAAAAAACAAGCTCATTGACTGTTGTTGGTATTGTTGGTACATTGTGCAGCATCTCAAGACAAGACATTCCACCGCGTGCTCGGAATGTTAGCCTTCAAGTTCCCTTTTCCCTCCCTCTCTTCAGCCACTTCCGCGTCCGCGGCAGCCAACAAATATTCATCTCACTTAAAGGGATCATCCAACATTCCCCCTCTGATGGTCCCGATCGACACAAATTGAACCATGGCAGGCAGGTATGTTTCTACTTAGCATGTATGGGTGTGGTGTATATTGACAATCGTCAAATTCAATGGATAGATTTGGTTACCGTCTATCGACAATTTCGAGTACTTGCGTGATCCTGTATATCAACCTGTCTTAACCAAGTGTCGGCCACTCATCGTCAATGTATGTACTGTACTGTCTCTTTCTTCTGTTCTATGTCGCTGGAGTCATTCATCCCCCCCCCCCCCCCCCGCCCAAAAAACAGCCGCTTTCAAACACCACGCTGGAAATTCTCAAAAAGATTACCTCTTACCCCGCTTCACATGTTTATAGGAGAGTCTTCATGTCGTTCGCATCGCGGATACCCACCACATTGCCAGCCTTGACACGCTTCAGAGTCAAGGCAGCAATGAGGGCGGCACCTACACCAGAACCATCCTCGGCAGCCTGGATGCAGACCTTGTCCTGCTCCTCGGGAGCCCAGTCAAGGATTTCCCGCAGCGCCTGAGCACCACGGGCCTTGAAGTGGGGGTACTTGGTGAACACGGAACCATCGGCACCCACGTGGCACGACTCGATGTTCTTCTTCTTGCAGATGGCAGCAACACCGCAGGCCGAAAGGCGAGCCGCACGGGTACCAATAAGCTCCGCAAGGCGGCGGATCATTTCTAGCTCAGGCTGCGTCGCCTTGATCTTGAGCTTGCGCTCCAGGAGCTCCTCCGTCTCCTGGAGGTTCTCATACGGATCCTCCTCAATGGCGGCCAAGAAGGACGAGTCCAGGAGGTAGGGCTTGCGCAGCTCCGAGGTGTTTTGGCCGTTGAAGATGAGACCCGGGTGGGTCTCCAGCAGGTCAACCAGGGCGAGACGGAAGATCTCACCCAAGTAAAGACCGGCGGTCATCTTCTCGAAAGCCTGCTGGCCGGGACGGGGAGAGTCCCGGTCGATGATGTGATCATACTTGGTGAGGGGGAGCACAATGTGCTCGTTGTCGAATGCGCCATACTCGCAGTTGATGGCGACGGGCATATCGGCGGGCAGGTTCATGTGGCCAAGCTTGGGGATAGAGCCCGCATTCTCCATGTAGGCGGCGTTAACACCAGTGCCGAAGATGCAGCCAATCTTCATAGCAGGGTCGGTGTACGCAGACGCGATGAGGGTTCCGGTAGTATCGTTGATCAAGGCAGCAACCTTGATAGGCAGGCCCTGTAAGTCGCGAGAGTATCACATTAGCACGCCTCAACCCAAAATACGCATGGAAGAGACCCACCTTGTCCTTTAGAATCTTCTCCAGAGGAGGAACGACGTCGTGGCCCTCCACTCCATCAATATCAAAGCCCTTAGTCCAACGCTGCAGGACACCGTGGTCGATATAATCCTGGGTGGCGGGATAGGAGAAGGTGAAACCCAAGGGAAGCTTAGAGAGCTCCTCGCCCTCGTGGTGAGATTCAATGAACTGCTGCAGACAGTCGGCGATGTACTCCCACAGCTCCTCAGCAGTGCCGGTTCTGAGCTCCTCGGGCATCCGGTACTTGGACTGAGTGATGTCGAAGCCACCCTTCTCCTTGGTCAAGGTGATTTCACAGACACGCAAGTTGGTACCACCCATATCCAAGGCGAGGAAAGTTCCCTGTTCATCACCATCGGGGAATCCCATGACCCAGGTGACATTCATGGGCTGAGGTGAAGTCAGCCAGTTAGTCGATCCGATCCTTCTCGATTGCGGAGCTAATTGCCCGGTCAGGCCATACTCACAATGTTACCACCCTCGACACTAAGACCTGTTCACGCTCAACTCAGACCTAGTCAGCTGCAAGAAATCATTGGAATTGTGTGAATGGGTTGGGAATTGATCTAGGTATAGAAAATGTCGAATTTTCGTGATTGTGGTTTTGTTGTTGTTGTTGTTGTTGTTCAAGGGTTGTTCAAGGGGAGGGAAGAGGCTTTATGACGTACCCTTCTCCAATTCCTTCACAAAGTGGTCGACAACCTTCTTGAGTGTGGCACGGTCAACGGTAAACATATCCTCAAACTCCTTGATCTGCTGCAGGAGGTTTTGGGGCACATCGGCCATGGATCCTAAGGCCGGGTCAATTGGAATTCGGCATCCCGACGAGGGAATGGAAGGGAAGGAGGCGTACCCTTGCGGGAAGGGGGGCGCTTGGGACCGAGTCCAACCATTGTGAATAGTGATGATGAGAGGGGTATTGGGAAAAATAACAACGAAAGGGATGGTTGATGGGGGATGAAGAGCAACTGAAGAAGAGAGGTATTATGGAAGGGAGAAGGGAGTGAGGGAGTGTGTAAGAGGGAGAAGCAGAAGAAGAGTGAGTGAGACAAGAGGAGCGAGAATGAAAGAAAGAAAGACAGCGATGACGACGTGGGGCAAAAGGTCGGGTTTGGCGGGGGATATTATCGGGGGCAACTGGCCACTCGGCGCGGGTCCTCCTCACCGGTGACTGGCTTGGGTCGCTGCGGGTCAAAATAAATACGATGTCTAGTCAATAATCTTCCTCAATCATTATACTTGAGTAATCCTTGAAACATGATCGGTCTTTATATGGAGTCTCGAGTGGGCAATGGCGCCAGGGGGATCCGACTGTTCCCACTTCCCTTCTGCGGAGTTCAAGAATGCTCAGATGGTGGAGGTGGGGAGGGAAGAGGGAGGAGGGGATCGCTTTAGGGCTGGGAATTGACTACTCTCCTAATGCATTTGGATTCCTGTCCTATCATTACTGTATGCGAATATGATTCTTGTCTTAGTCTGTCTTTGTTTTATCGATCGTCTACTCATCAGGGTCATTAGAATTCATCAGCAAAACCCCCCTCCGCGGTCGAGACGCCCGAATCCGGGCGGAATGGTCGACCAGCCACCTAAACCAATCTTTCACCCTCTCATGCCCATCCCCATCCCGTCTTCGTCAAAAGCCAATAAGCCATAACCTAATGTCTTGGTTAGAAACTTTCCGATCTATCATCTTCTTTTGTGGCCCGTGTCAGATGGGGGAAGACATGGGCCAGCCCTTCAGTGCTTGTCTCCCCCGCATGCGAGCTGCGGCTGTTATTCGCCGGATCGATTCGATCTGCGCGATCCGCTTTCCCCGCGACGGCTCCCCCTAATTGTTGGCGGACACGTTGTTCGTAGGCCTGCGAAATACCCAGCGTGCGATCGACCTCTTCCGTGAGACGCTCGACTTCCTCCTGTAACTGCTCTTTGCGCGTCCGAGGCGGTGTATCCTCCACCGTCTGTGCGCCGGATTCCTCCGGCAATTTGGTGGCTTCCCACAGCGCCTCCAACTCCTCCTCCCAACCCAGAGCGCGAGCGAATCGACGCACCCCGGTATCGCAATCCCCCAGTACCAGGACGTCGTCTGGGCGCGACCCCAGTCCTCCGACCCGCTCCATGTTGATCAGCACCCGCGGTATCCCATCGCGACAGAACCCGGGCAAGCTAGCAAACGGTTGCACCGTCAGACTGGTGCCCATGACAATGCAGAGATCGGCCTGTTCGGGCAAATCGCTGCTGTTAAAGAAGTCCGACGGTAGCGCTTCCCCAAAGAAAACAATATCCGGCTTCACAAGCCCGTTGCACTCTGGACAGTAAGGCACCTCTCCCTTAGCAATGGCTGCCTTCATCTGGTCCTCTGGGTAGTCCGCCTTGCAGTCGATACACCGCTGGGTTGCAAAGCTCCCGTGGGCCTCAACGATCTTCTCCCCCGGCACCCCTGCCAGACGCTCAAGGCAGTCGATGTTCTGCGAGAAATGTTTTAGAAGGCGCCCCTTGTCGTAGAGCAGTTTGATGAACGAGTGTGCGATCGTGGGTCGGTATCGGCCCGGAGCGAGCTCGCGGGCCAAGGTGTAGAAGGGCTTGGGGTTCTCGCGGAAAAAACTGATGTCGAATACGGCTTCGGGATCGGGCAGATCTAGGTAGGCCAGGTTGGAATAAATGCCCGTGTCAGGGGAGCGGAAATCGGGAATGCCGGCCGAGGTGCTGATGCCTGCACCCACCTGATTGCCGGGTATCTCTTGTCAGCAACTACTCTGTTTTGAGGTCCGGAGATGTCTTACCATAACCACAATGCGTCGCACATTTTTCTCAAGGATATACTTGGCGACTGCCTCGATAGTGCGCTTCTCTAGCACGGATGGGGGGGCCTTCTCGTCCACGTCCGTGGAGGATTCGTTGCCCATGATGCGAACAACACGGCCAATTCAAGGCCGTACTTGATGGAATAGTAATGTAAGTGATGATTCGTGCGCAGTTATAGTTATGGCGCGTCGAGAAGAGCGTGATCCCCTCGAGACACGAAAGAAATAGCCGAAAGTGGCGTGCAATGCAATGGGAAGAAATTCCGAAATGACGTCGAGATGAAAAACGGTCAATTTCCGAAAAAAGAAAAGCCCATCGTCAACATTAGCTGCTCTTCCGCCTCAGGTGTCAACCATCTGCTACTCGGTATAAACAGCTACACTCACCAGCCTGATCACTATTTGATAACGAGTCAGGCTTGTATTAAAGAAGCTATCTACCTTCTAGCTTTTCCGTCTCTTGTTTAAGCAGAATTATGCTTACTAAATACAGTTATCTAACTAATCAATGTACTGTAATTGACACCTGAGGCAGCAAGCCCCACCCGCTGACCGCCTTCCGTAATAATGCCATGTTGTTCGGAATGGCTTCGATGGCCTCCTTTCCTTTCCATCCTTCGGAATAACACATTGACTGCTGTCGCAGCTCAGAGCTGCTCGTTTTTCTTATCGGCAATGGCCAACCCTCCCCTTGGCAAGGTCAATGGCCACCCTGACGCCGGACTCAGCCCAACCAACACCGTCACTACCGTCTTCAACGCCAGCTCCGTCGCCGAGATCAAGGCCACGCTGTCTCACCTACATGAGCAGGAAGCTTCGGTGACTGCCCGCCTAGATGCTCTTGTAGCTTCTCAGAAGGACTTCTCGCGCGAACTTGGACGGTTAGATCTGCTTCGTGCGAACCTGGGCTCACAAACTAGTACCACGCGTGCCATCAGCCATGGCATGCTCGCCGATGCGGCCACTACCGCCGATCGGATTTCCAGCGCGGTTCGTCGTCTAGACCGCGAACAATCTCGTGTGAAGGCTACCCTCGCTGTGGTAGATCAGGTTGCTGAGCTAAAGGCATGTGTGCTGGGAGTGGCTGGCTCGATGGGGGCCCCGCAGGATTGGGAGACTGCGGCGAGCTACCTGCACCGCGCAGCCAAGATCCCCCCGGAGGTGATCCACGGGGCCTTCGCGGCGGAGATGGTGCCCACCGCGGAGGTGCCTGACCCGCCCCATGTCACCCTCGACAACGCCGCCGAGTCACTTTGCGGTCTCTTCCTGCGTGAATTCGACAAGGCCGTCCAGGAGAACAATGGTGCCCGCATCACTCGCTTTTTCAAGCTCTTTCCCTTGATTGGCCGCTCCGAGGTCGGTCTCGACGTCTACGGCCGCTACGTCTGTCAGGGTGTTGCCGCTCGCGCTCGATCCAATCTTAATGCCTCTGGCGGCCAGGCCAAAGACGGCTTCTTCTATGCCAGCGCACTCACCAAGCTGTTCGAACATATCGCCCAGATTATTGACGGCCACGGCAGCCTCGTCGAGCGTCATTATGGCCCGCGCAAGATGAACCGCGTCATCGAGCGCCTCCAGCTTGAGGCTGATGTTCAGGGTGGCATCATCCTTGACACTTGGAGCGATGAGCGCCACGTAGATCGCAAGCTGACCGATATCAAATCTTATGCCTTTACTTTCCTCGTGCAGAGCTTCTTGCCGCCCCAGCGCGGCGGTGGCACGCCTCGATCCATTTCACCTGCCACCCGCGACGGAGCCGCCGAGGATGAAGGCGTCGACATGAAGGAGATCGACGGGCTCCTCAACGAGATGGCCGTTATGCTAGGACGCTGGTCATTATACTGCCGCTTCCTAGCAGACACCTGTAATGTAGTTTGCCTTGGTGTTTCCCCCAAACTGTAACCTAATACTGACTAATTGCCAGCCTCCGGGGGAGAATGATTCCACCAACCAGTTCGCCCTTCCCGAGTTTCTTCGCGAATCCTCCCTTGCTAGAAAGATCAATGAACGTCTCGCCGCTCCTTTCAACACTATGACGACTTTCTTCTTCCGTCGATCCGTAGAAAAAGCCTTTCAGCTCGACGAGCAACCTTCCGGCCTGACTCTCAACCCGCATAAGCCGCTGAAGGCCGACCCACCACACATCACCTCCGCTGTTGACGACATCATGTACATTGTCAACAAAGTCCTGCAGCAGTCCCTTGCAACCTCGCAGATTAGCATCGTCACCAACGTCGTCCCGACGGTTTCGCGCGTCCTCGGCTCTGACTTCATCGGCATGACCCAGCGGAAGATGCGTGACGAATGCTATCCGCGCGCCGCGGTCCAAGGCGCCCAGCCTCCGGAATCGCTCACCATCCCCTTCCTCGTGCTCATCAACAACCTCGACGTCGCAGTCGACTACATCCGGCGCATCCTTCACAAACATACGGAACAGAAGATTGCCAGCCAATCCGAACCTTCGTCCACCACCACCACCGACCCCATCCAGGCCCTGTTCCCCAGCCCCACAGAAGCCCAACTGGCATCTCAAACCCTACACTCCCTCGCCAGCACCTTCGAGTCCAAGGTCACAGACCTCCTCAACGATGGCACACAAGTCATCTTCAACAATGTCATCAAACACCGCCTCCGGCCCATCCTGTCGGACGCCTTCCGCGACATCGAATACCAGCCCCGGGACGACAACGACCCTGTCCGTACGGTCTATAACGCCCCGGCGATCCCCAGCATGAACGAGTATTACGACTCGGACGACCCGATCATCGGCGCCCCCGACGCGGCGGCCGCCGACGGGGAAGCCGACCCGGGCGCGGAGCTGGTGCGCCCGCGCTTCGCGACCGCGTGGAACGAGCTGCTCCTCCCCATCAGCCGCATCCTCACCGCCTCGGCCTTCGACCGCCTCCTGACCGTCACGGTGGCGTATCTGGCGCGGCTCCTGGAGAAGAGACTCTGGAGCTACCACGGCCGGGTCAACGCGCTCGGGGCGACGCGGCTCGAGCGCGACGTCTCCGGCGTGGTCGGCGCGGCGGTGGACGTCGGCGGCTCGCAGGGCCGGTATCGGCACCGTGACGCGTTCGTGCGCTGTCTGCAGATGGTGCTGGTGATGGGTATGGACGAGGACGAGTGGGAGGATGTGATGCGCGGCGGGGAGACGGCGGAAGTCGTCGAGAAGCTGAGTCGGGAGGAGAGGATGAGGATTCGGGCCATGGTGCGACGAGCTTAAGACCCCCTTCCATTCCGATCCAGTCTTAAAGGCAGGGTACTCAGACAGGGTGACTAGCTAAACGTACATAAGAGGGAAGGGAACAGTCCGCCCCATTTTGCCCCGTCAAAGGGCTTGCATGTGGATGATATGAATGTACAATACACATAAACATAGGGTACACATTAGAGATGAGTGAAATTAGTCGTATGTACTTATCAACTGCATATAGTATCAAATTCCGAGGGTTCGTGTCAAGGCTATCGGGCGAGGAACGATCAATGCCCGCTGATCAAAGAAGATTGTTTGCTTCCAGCTACTGCGTACTTCAAACATAAAATGGTACAGTGGGTTGCGGCTCTGCAGCACGTGCCGTGGAGACCCGCTGGCCATGCATGTGACAAATTAGCTAGACAATGATCCATGAGCTTTCTTCTCGCCAGGCCGGACGACAACTGAGCCCGTGGTGTGAGCGAGTTAGTGTGGGTGATGATCTGAAATTACCTCCTAATAAAATCAGCTTGAATGGCTTTTCTAATTTAATTGCACCGTCATCGATTTATATATATTTCCTCAAATTAATCGAATCTATGCTTGTGCTGGTATCAATCCTGAGCACTGAAGAAAATCCTCCCGCCAGCTAAAGAAGCTAGTATATACAAAGCACCCAGCAGAGAGGTATACAGAACCCGCGGGTGTGCTGACCCAACATAACGCCATGTTTAGGGGTAAAAAAAAAAGATAATCCGAAGAGTAATCCCCACACCGAAAATAGTACACAGAAAATGGAGGACAACCGCAAAAGCTGGCTCGGGGGCAAGGCGACGCTGGATATCATAATAGAACAGAAAAACAGATAACAAATATGCGAAATGCTCATCAGGCGTCGGTCTTCTCCTGCATGGGAATCGCCGTTACCGGCTCTCCCATGGGCTCAAGCTCGTGATCGTGTGCCGGATGGTGCTCGGCCACTTGGCGCGGCGCCGGCGCCATCTTGATCTCCTGAATGCCCGAGTCGCCTTCGCTGCAGCCACGACTGTCAACGCCAACCGGGGCGTGTCCGTCTAGCATCATTTCGCTGTGCTCGCCGATACCGTACCGCGCTGCAGCAGGGATCTCGTGGCCATCCTCCAGCTGATCGTGCTTCTGAGGAGTCCAGGCCAAGTAGTCACGGCGGACTTCCACATAATCGTAGGCGAATTCACCCAGTTGATCGTCGTCCATACCCAAAAGTTCTGCTTCCTCCGAGGCGCGCAGCTTGAGACCGGGAATGGCGTTGATGGCGTATGCAATGATGGCAGACATGACGAAGGCGTAGGAGCAAGTGGCGACGACGTAGGCGATTTGAATGTATAGTTGCTTCCAGTTGTGAATAATCCAACCACCCGAGCCGGATCCCGTGTTGACTCCGTCCAGCCCGACGATTGCATCATCTGCGAAGAAGGCGTTGAAAATCAAACCGACGATACCGGCAATACCGTGCTCAGCAAGCACATCCATGGAGTCATCAATTCCAACCCAGTATTTCACTGTACTTATTAGAATCAGTGTATCCATGCAGTGGGGATATGATCGGACTTACCCTTGGTGGAGTAGTTGCAAACAATGCCAGTGACGACACCCAGAATCACGCTGGCCCAGGGAGGGATATAACCCGAGGCCGGGGTAGCTGCGACGAGGCCAGAGATAGTGCCGGAACACCAGCCGACCATGGACCACTTGCGTGCAAGACGCCAATCGAGCAAAACCCAGGTCATGGCCGCGAACGCTCCAGTCAGATTGGTATTCCAGCACGCCATGGTGGCACGCAAATTAGCGCCAAAAGCCGAGCCACCGTTGAATCCCAACCATCCAAACCAAAGAAAGACAGTCCCCAGCAGGATAAGCGACACGTTGTGCGGGCGGAAGTTGAGCATCATCCGTTCCTGACGGCGACCGAGGACCATGGAGTAGGCAAAAGCAGACAACCCGGACCCGATCTCAACGGGGCCGCCACCCGCATAATCCAAGACACCATATTTGTATGCCCACCCATTCACATTCCAAGCCCAACATGCCAATGGGCAGTAGACAATGGTGGCCCAAATGAAAACAAACACCATGGCCGGTAGCATACGACCTCTTTCAGCTACGGCTCCCATGATGATAGCTGCCGTTACACCACAGAATTGCATCTGAAGACCAAGGACAGGGTCAGTCTCCTGGAGAAATCCATGAACAAGGCGGGGGGGTGTACCTGATAGAAGGCATAGAGCAGATTTGGGATGAGAGGAGATCCAGGGCTGGGATCGGCGAGCGTCTTCATGAGACCAAAATTGCGCAAGTTGCCGATGTATCCGTTGGTGGCGGTGGGTGAGAAGGCGAGGGAGTAGCCCCAGAAGTACCATTGAAACGTGACGACGGAGAACGAAGCCATACAGGCCCAGATCATGCTGAGAGCCGACTTTCGACGGGCAAGACCAGAGTATAGGAACGCTAGACCGGGAATCATGACCATGACCATGGCAGCGGACACGATGATGAAGGCCTGGTCTCCGGATTGGAACCATTTGTTCAGGTTCTCCGTTCCTATGACCGAGGTAAGCATTGATGTGAGGGGCAATGGGAGGCTGTCTAGCCCGCATAGGATCACATACGAGAATCGCCTCCCAGTTCATTAGTAGCAAGGGCTTCGTAATCGGAGGGTGCGCCCGTCCAGTTGTATGACGCATATTTAGGGATGTAGACGCCGACGTTGCCCGGCATTGTGACGGCTTAGTTGGCGGATAGTGTAGAGTTTAGAGCAGGCAGTTGAGGTGATATGGCGAGAATGTTGAGAGCGAATTGAGTCACCACCGCCCAAGTTGTCCTCACACTGAGAACTGGCGGATGGCGGAGGGGTGAAGTGACGAGATGAACCAGTGGCAGTATGTCGAGTGATACCAGATATTCTGTTCCTTCTGTTATGACCAAGGGTATCAGGTGATTCAAGGAGGGAGCTGGGGAGAAGTCAAGCACGGCAAGAGGGTGAGTAGGAAGAGCGTGACAAAAGAAGGTTCGGAAGGGGAGGGAGGAGTCGAGATTGAAGGCGTAGTCAACCCGAGATCGGAATGATTGACGGAATCAACGTCAGTTGAGAGGGAGAGACGGTACGGAGGGAGAGAAGAGTGGAAAGAGGGAGGGAAAGAGGGATTGAGAGGCGAGGAGGAGGAAGAGGATGGATGAAGTAAGTCGAGGGGAGTAGTAGGAGGAGTAGGAGGAGTAAGAGGAGTCTAGTATGCGTAGTAGAAGAACTCCGCCGTCGGATGTGGAGAAGGAGAAACCGCCACGGGGCGGAGGCGTGGGCAAGATATAAATACGAAGTGTAATTGACTGGCAACGAGTTTTCTGGAAAGACACCGGGGTGGGTCGACTCAAAACCACAGGACGCTTGAGTATTGAGTGGTAGATAGTTATAGAGTGGGAAAGACTCCCTGAAGTTTGAACTCTTCTGTTCTGTTCTGAATTGAAGCAAGAATGGATCCCGATCCCCCCCGTTGGGCACCGGAGGGTCAAGGTGGAGCTGTTTTTTTCACGGTGAACCGAAGAATTGCTATGCTCCCAGGCCCAGATGAAACCGATCGGCCCTGTCTGGCTGGAACTGCGTCGGAAAGCGAGAGATAAGCAGCTGGAAGGCTTTCAGGCAACCTTTGATGGAGGGAAACTGAGAATGAAGATGAGAATGAGAACGAGAAGATGATGAAATGGAAAAGAAGCTCATGATGATGGACTGGACGGGAAAAATAAAAAGACTATCGGGAAAAGAGACTTCAGGGTAAAAATAAAATAAAATAAAATAAAATAAAATCCAAATACTAAATTGAAAATTGAAATTCGAAATAAGGTGGTCAATCTGGGGGCGTGCGATAACGAAGGGAATGAAAGAGTTGAAAAATCAAATGGGATAAAATAAACTCGGGCCCGACGATCCTCGACCGAACGGCGAACCCTTGCAACTTTCCTCAATGATAACTGCCAGCACTGGTGCATACATCAACTGTTCTCAGTACATTCATGTATTGATTGATTGATGAGGAGAGCAGTCAATCTAGAGTACTCTCATTCGTTAGTTATGAACATTTCTCATCTTCCATCTTCCATCTTTCTTCATCGACTGTGCCAAGTCAATGGCTCTCTTCAGCTTTATCTGTCCGTCAATCAGTCCACCCGCCAATGTTTCTCTCGAGTCGATTATTCCCTCGTGGCAAAAGCCGGGAAGGGACGGGGCAGACCACCCCGAAACCAGGCAAGGCTCGATATGCGCCTACAGGATGCGGTTTAGTCGGTGGCACCCCCTACCCAATCCTACTGAAATCAAATCAGCTATCTACATAGTATATTCTATGTAGACATATATCCAGAAGCACAGGGAATGCTTCCTGCGTCCTGACTGTCGCGCGACAGCGGAGGAATCCTGGGGTCAGCAAATAAGCTGATCACCCTACCCTGTCAGCCCCCGGATGACCGTCATCAGCATCAACTGCTCTCAACTTCGGTATCACAATCAAGGTTACGAGATACCATTCATCCCGCTCGCTTCCATTGGCCTCACCATTGGCGGACAAGATGTACTGCCCAGACCTGACCCTCCGATGCATCAGGACAGTCGAGGGGTCACTGAAGCAAGTGGCTTGAGAGCTGTTGGTTGTGGAGGATATAGTGCACTGGTGGTATGTACTGTCAGTACTGTCAGTACTGTACATTGACCATTCATCCTAGTGCATGTATGGATCAGCCCTCCATCACCGTCCGCCTCTCCATCAGCATTGACAATGTGATCCGGCTGGTCTGGCGAGAAGAAGAAATAAAAATTCCCCGACATTCAATGGGACAACAGGGCTCGATGAACTTGTATTTATGCCTAGGGACCTCCGGGCAGCTACGGTAGGGAGATAGCTACGTATCATGCATCCTATCGACCTCGCTTTCCCTATCGCTCCTTCCCGACGATAACAAAACGGACAGCGGTCGGCTTGAAGCATAAGATTGCATCTGAATGCCTACTTCACTACTGGCTGTAAGTAGAGGTCGCTTACTGCTGGATTTCGAGGCATCGCATTTTTGAGACTTGGCACTCCGGCACGATGTCTCCCATGAATGATATTGGTTCCGGTCCAAGCAGTCGTCCCTATACAGTACCCGCGGACCAGAAACAAGAAACAATTTCAAGGTTGCGTACGGAGACTCCTCGCCCCTGTCCCCCAGATGGACTATCACCATTACGAATGATACGAAAACTCTCTTGCGGAGGAGTGTCGATCCCAGGTTGTCCCAGGTTGTCCCAGGTTGGAAGTTTCACAGTTTCAGTCTCGCCTGCCTGCCTGCCTGTCTGCCTCCTTCCATTCTGTTTGGAGGAATCCACTCAGCCTGTTCCGTGGAACCTCAATTTGGCTGGAGGGAAAGGGAAAGATAAAGATACGGTCTTATCAAAGTTGGTTTCTCTGAGCTCATCATTGCTTGGGAACGATTGGCTGGGAGGGAACGATAAGGTGCTGCACGCCACCCAAGCCGGGCTGGGGCTCCGCTACCGCCGGAAACAGTCTAGCCCAAGCGTCAAGCGGCTCCATCGTGCTGATAACAAGAAGCTTGGCCAATGGAAGCCCCTCTGTTTGTGGGTCAAAACTTCCTCTGCGAAGGATAGACTACCCTAAATCACCCGCAGGCAGTCAGCCTGGCTATCCGTCTAGTAGCTAAGGTCTATGCGCCTTTGAATACTCCGTACATTGAAGTGCCGTTGTGCTAGAGTCTAGGGTCAATCGGACACGGCCTCATGTTGACATAGACAAGAGCATGGTGGTAAGTTACCAAGCGGAGAAGATATACGTATCCGTAGACTTCCCAAATTAAGTTGACAAACATACGAACTAGCCTTCATCCAGTAGCTCACTAAGGCAACCAGACGTAGATTAAACTACGGAGTACATAGGTCTATATCCGAATATCGGCAGGCCTTCTCCAAGGCTATTGTGCCTGGGCCATCGGGACTCAAATCGGCTCTTCCACCAACCCTGCAGTCATAGACTAGGTGACTTACCTAGAGCTTGGGTCCGGGCTGGCTGCAGAAGACAGGGTGGTACAAGCCTGGGGGCGAAGGGATGGATGGAGTCCATCTTGACCCCACCTGCCCACCCTTCTTGCTCCTCTGTCCAGTGTCCTGTGGGCACTGGATCGAACCCTCCAATCTAGGCCTCTACTGCAACGGTAGTTACTCAAGTAGTACATGAGTTTGCCGCGGACAAGGCAACGATGCTTACACCTGATCTGCTTACCAGTCATCAACGTGCATCCATTCTATCTGCCGCCATATGAGCAAAGCTGGTTTCGACCGACCGCATCAGCGGACTACACCCATACTGCCTCGTAGCGGGTTCAACGGGGTGGAAATTTTTCCGAACAAACAATCCGCCTATACCGGAGGTCTCCGAAACACTCGGCGGGCCGGCGGCGACTGCGAGAGCAGGGCGCGCAACCCGCGGAGAGGGTTCCGAGCCTTCCCGAGGCGGGCATCGGGGAAATGAGGAACGCGATGAGCCCTCCGCCCCCAATACTCATTACTAGCTCATTGAACTTCAGTAGCTGGAAATAGAACCAAAAAAAAAAAGATATCAGGGCCCGAACCGCGATTCGAACGCGGGACCTCTCGCATTTTGAGCTATAACCCGACTAGGAAAGTTAGAGATGTCTTGCTTGTGGTATGTTGTAAAGTGTGAACTTACAGCGAGAATCATACCACTAGACCATCCGGGCTGTGATGATGTAATCTACACCTGATTATGTGCTTACATACGGCGGAGAGTACAGCCCGGCGTGTCTCCACGCAAGCCTATCTTTGGGGATTTCCCCGGGCACCAAATAGCAGGCACGGGTCTCCGGATTTGAAGTGATGCTAAGGGTGGGTTGGAACATGATCTTGGAGCATCGGGTGGGTTGGTGTTTAATAAGAGGAACCAAAAAAAGAAAGGAAGAAAATTGATTGGGAAGAAAAAAAAAGGTGCTGCCCGGGGGATGGTACGTAGGAGGCAAGAAGAATTTTTGTGGGTCCGACGAAACGTGGGAACCTCTCGCATTGCGAGTTGATAACCGAGACGGAGATCTTAGATGTTGTGGCAAACATTTTGTGGTCGTGATGGCTGTGGCTCATTCGTAGGCTTGCGGGTGTGTTCTTTGGTATCTTTGCTGTGCCTTTCGGTGCTCACCTCATGTCCCTCTTGGCTACTTCGTCTCCGGACGATGCAAGTCTGCTTCGGGGCGAGTAGGGCATGCATGATGACTGGGTGCCGATCAAGGGGGGCGCGACAGGCCCCTCTGGGAGCAGACCAGGGCCAATTATCAGCCTATTTGAAGGAATCTGGGGTTGAGCATGCACTGTACCTCTCGGGGCTGGGGGGTGCTTAATCGCACGACACTGCAATCTATAGTTATCTGTCCACATGTGGCGTCTGGTCAGCCATCCATAATGGCCGTTGTCCCTTGTGTCTTATGTGCCTCAGGACTCTACATTGTGGTGATAAAGCTTGGTGTTGCGCTAGGCGCGCCGTGCGTGATGCATAATCTCCCATCCCTGCTTGCCTTCGTTGGGTATACATTACGCGTGTGGCTTATCTTTTCGTCGCAGTTGCATCCCTTGCGCGGATTTGGTGTAATTATTCAAGCGTGCAGTCTCAGTATCCATATACCTACCTGCCCTGGTACCTCTCGGATCACGTAGAGCCGCCCGCCTGGAATATATACCTACTCGGATGAGGAACAAACCCCTGCAACTTGCCATCAACACTGGTAAGCATCGAACACGAAGAAGAGAGCATCTAAGAGAGACAGTGGGCCTCATCGACAGCAATAATGCCGGAATATCACAAGATAGAAAATGTGAGTACATTGCATGATCGCAATCGAAGTGCACAAATGGCAACCACAGAGCCAAAATTAGGCGGATAGAGCATTAAAAAGAAAACCCCTACATCAGCAAGGCCTGCTGGCCCAATGGTAAGGCGCTTGACTACGAATCAAGAGATTGCAGGTTCGAGCCCTGCGTAGGTCATTTCTTTTTGCTTCTATGTCATCTTCTTTCTCAGCATCTGAGATATCCGGGCCCACTGCCTCAAGTTCCCTGTATGATCGCTAGACGGAGCAAGGTCGGACAACAGGAGCGCAGGCCAGTGGCGCCGTTTTCTTTTGTCAACAGCGCCTGCGCCATGACCCGACCCGGTATTTTCCCCAAGCCAGTTCTGCTACGTCGCCGGCAAGTCCCCCTAACCCTAACGCGTGCATACTATGGACTGGTCTGGGTTTATTATACCTGCCCAGATAGCCATACAATCTACACGCTGTCAAGTCCGGGGCATGATATCGCGCGCAAAACCCGCATAGCCAAGCTGCGTTGTTCTATTTATCAATATCAAGTAACATACACAAGAACCGTAGCATTTGTTCTATACACATATAAGCCACGATGACACTATTAACCCATAAACTTATACCTAGCCCACCGACTCATACCCATGCATCTATCAGACATTGGAGCTGTATCCCACCCCAACGGCCCGCCGCCGCTGTAACGCCATATAATACTTCCGCGCCTCGTCTACCCAGAAGACGCTGCTGGAGATGCACACCAGCTTGAAAAGGTGTGCCAGGTTCAGCGCCTCCGTCTGGAACACACGCTGTAAGAATGGCAGGTAGATGACACACGCCTGCCCAGCCAAAGAGCCCAGCACGGCGTAATTGAACATCTTGTTGCTGAATAGTGAGATCTCGCCCCGCAGGACCGACTTGCCCTCGCTGCGGCAGGTCAGGGCGTTAAACATATCGAACAGCACGAAGCATGTGAAAGTCATCGTCGTATCGTGAGCCGTGACCACGCGCGCACGCTTGCCGGGATGACCGACATCATCTACATCGCCCATCTCGTACACGTAGATGGCCAAGGTGCCGAGCATAATCACCATGGCCGAGGTCAGAACTCTCTGAATGAGTGGCCTCGTCAAGACCCGAGCTGACCTCGGGCGCGGAGGGCGGTTCATGATAGAGGGATCAACCGGCTCCACGCCCAGGGATTGTGCTGGAGGACCGTCCATAAGAATGTCTAGGTAAAATAGATCAGCAAGGGCATAGAAACGACATGGAACCAGAGTTACTTACTAATCCAGAGGATCTGCATCGCATTCAGTGGATTCTTGAAGCCCAGAGTTGTGCTCAGCAAAACAAGACTGAGGGCAGCCACGCTGGTGCTGAGTTGGAAGGTAATGAAATTCTGGATGTTGTAGAAGATGCCCTTGCCTTGCTCGATGGCTCGCAGAATGGTCGAGAAGTCGTCGTCTGTCAAGATCATATCCGCCGCCTCCTTGGCGACGTCAGTTCCCAACTTGCCCATAGAGATCCCAATATCCGCCTTTTTCAGGGCCGGTGCATCGTTGACACCATCCCCAGTCATGGCTACCACATCCCCGCGAGCCTGCAAGGCGCGAACCAGCTTCATCTTGTGGTCTGGACTCGTGCGGGCGAAAATCGAAGTCGAGGCAATTGCCTGGGAGAGTTCGGTCGTGCTCATCCGCTCGATTTCCTCACCGCTGATGACGGGCCGGGACCCAGGGGTATCATTGACGGGCATTCCTAGTTTCTTAGCGATAGCAACTGCAGTAGTCTCGGCATCTCCAGTGATCATAATGATCCGCACGCCCCCGGCCATCAATCGCCGGATAGACTTGTGTACATCCTTGCGGGGAGGGTCATTCATTCCTACCAGCCCAGCAAAGACAAGCCCGGTATACCGCTCATCGTCATCGCCTTGACTGGTGCGTGACGCAGGCGTACCCGACCGGCTGCCAAGAGTCCTTCCTTTACCACCGTCTCTCGATACACCGCTAGCAAAACCAAGGACTCTTAAGCCTTCTGATGCCATCTGCTCGGCCGCATGCCGCACGGCTTGTCGTCGAGGTTCATCTAGAATCACCTCCCGCCCGTCCTTGGTCAGGTAGGTATCGCAACGCGCCAAGACCTGCTCAAGTGCACCCTTGATGTAGGCCATATTAGTGCCCCCTGGAGCGGCAAGTGAGGATGATTCGCTAGGTGTGCCGCTGCCGATAATGACACCCATCCATTTGCGCTCGGAACTGAAAGGTGTCTCCGCAACACGAGCGCTAATTCGATCGCGAACATCGTCCTCACCAAATATATCAAGTAGATCGAGGATCGCAACATCTGTCGGCTGCCCAACCCATCTGCTCCGAACGCTTCCCGAAGCCCCTTCATCAGTTGAGGACAGCACGGCAGCGGAGGATGCGCTAGCCGGAGAATTCGCATGTACACGAGACAATCTGGCATTATTGGCGATGTTACCAATGCGAAGCACGGTCCGAGCCGCGGGCCCTGGAGTCAGTGACGTGATGTCGCTATGAACCTCAAATGGCTCCGAGCAATCGAAGTGCCACATCTTAGTTACAGTCATGTGGTTGAGAGTCAGCGTGCCGGTCTTGTCGCTACACACAACGTTGACCGATCCCAAGGTCTCGACACTGGGTAGCCTTCGCATGATAGCCCCTCTCTTGGCCATGCGCAAAACCCCCAAAGCTAAAGTTACCGTTACAATAATCGGAAGACCTTCTGGAATCGCAGCAACTGCGAGCGAAACACCAATAGTGAACATCTCGAGAAGCTTCCGACCCTGGATCAAGCCGATCACAACAATCAGTGCGATGA